CGCCTACCTGTTGCAGTGCAGCTTCTACGGGCACTCCATCTATGCCACCGCCTACATGGACACGTGGCGCAAGGACTCCGTTGTCATGCTTCTCCACCACGTGGTCACGCTGACCCTCATAGCCTTCTCCTACGCGTTCAGGTGAGGTCGCTGGCTGTGACACTCTGCAGTGTGGCCCGGGCCAGCCTTGGGCAGCTACGCAGCAAAAGCTGCAGCCTTTCTGTGCTCGGATGCATCTCACGGGCATGTAGCAGGACATCTCTTGCTGGGTTGGTGTGGGTTCTCCCCTGCCTCTCCAATCCTGCCTCCACGCTACTGCAGCAATCCCAGTGCTCGTGAGCCATTGCACGGTGCCAGGCCCACCCCGCAGCGTGTTGCTATGCTGTGCCGTGCCAGGTCTGGCAGTCTGGATTATTCAGGGAGTCTGGCTGCTCCCGGCGTGCTGGACCGTGGGTGCTGGGTGCTAACATCAACCCGCCGCCCCACACACATCCCTCCCTGCTCCCCTTTTTCCTACAGGTACCACAACGTGGGCATCCTCGTGCTCTTCCTGCACGACGTCAATGACGTGCAGCTGGAATTCACCAAGCTCAACGTCTACTTCAAGCACCGGGGGGGAGTCTATCATCGCCTCAACGACGTCATCTCCAACATTGGCTGCCTCACCTTCAGCATCAGCTGGTGAGTTTGTCTGCCTGATCCCCCTTCCAACCGTCCTTGCCAGCTTTTGCAATCCCCCCGGTGCCTTGGGGTACAGCCGGCTGGGTTTGTGTGCATGGGAACAAGCCCTTTCAAAAACTGTTTGGGAAGAGGTTCCTGCAGAGCCTGACCCCATGCTGGGCTTGGAATCCTTCTGTAGTCGCTTTGCTGTCTGTCACCGCCTGTGAAATCTCGCTTGCAGCATGACAAATGACCCCAGGGGAGGAGGAGCTGTTTCCATTTTCACACTTGGTTTTAGCAGTAAGAAGCACTTTTGCAAGAAGGAAACGGGAGGTGGGGCTGTCCCAGATTCCAGCCTTGCTGCTCCTCTTGGGGCAAAGCAGGAGGAAAAAAAAGATGAAGAATAGAGACGGGTAACCCACAGGTTGTCACTCCTCATTTGTCCCTTGTCTCCTTCCTCCCTCTCTGTGGACTGCTCTGAAAAGCAGGGGTGGCAAAAAGAGCCCTCGATTTGAGGGGAGGAGAGCAGCGAAGGTTTTTAGTGATAAACTAGGGATGCACGGGACCAAGAAAACCTTCCAGCTGTATTCTCCTGCTGTCCCTCATCCAGTTGAGGTAATCTGCAGTGTAGATTAATCTGCCTCTCTACCCTGAGAAAGCCCTTTCTCTGCCCTGCCTCTGGTGCCAAGACTTTTCTGCCCACGGAAATTGTATTCTCCCTTCAACAGCTGCCCTTTCTCGGGGTCGGTGTGAAGTCCTACCTAGAGCCAGACCTGTAAACCCAAGCCAGATGCCAAGAGCAGGGACTGCAAGGGGAGCTGTCGAGGGCTGCCTGGAGGCAGGAGGTTGTGCTGGGGGAAGCTGCGCTGGGTCTCACGCCTCTCCCGGGATCCCCGTGGGCCATTAAACCCACCCTGCTCCCTCTGCCCTGGCAGGTTCTGGTTCCGTCTCTACTGGTTTCCCCTCAAGGTGCTCTACGCCACTTGCTACTCCAGCCTCCAGTTGGTCCCTAATATCCCCTTCTACTTCTTCTTCAATGCTCTGCTCCTTGTCCTCACTCTGATGAACATCTACTGGTTTCTGGTGAGTAGGGGGAGCTCAGCAACCCCTACGCTAGCTTCTCCCTCTTCTGCTGCTCCTGCACAGTGCCTGCTGCCTGCCTGTCTTGGGGGCAGCTGGGGGGGCTGCAGGGATGGGGGAGGCTTCGGAGGACCGAGGGATGGCTGGGAGGGGAGGAGGGAAACCCGTGTCAGTGCCCGGGGGGCTCCTCTGTGCTGGAATTCAGACTGTCTCGCACCCCGGGGATCCCCGGGGAGGGAGCGATAACAGCAGTTGGGGCAGGCTGGAACTTGATATGGGTGTAAACGCTCTGGCATCCCCTGAAGCTTTGGGGAGGGTGTGAAAAGGGTGGACTTGGAGGGCTCACGCCAGCAAGCTCAACCCTGGGTAGCAACCCAGTGGGGTTGAAATCAGTTAAGGGTAGTTGCAGGAGCGCTGCCTCCCGCTGCTGCAGGTCATCAACCGCATCCCAGGGCTCTGGCCATCCCAGAGGGATCTGCCCTGCCCTTCCTGGGGTTGGGGACAGCGGAGAAAGGTCCCACTTAGCAAACGGGAGTGAGTAGGTTGGGTGGAGCAGCTCTAAGCCTTGGGGTTTGTGGCTGACAGTGTCGCTCCTCCCACAGTACATCGTCCTGTTTGTGGCCAAGGTGCTGATGGGGCAGATGCAAGAGGTGAATGATGTGCGTGAGTACGACGTGGAGGACAGCAAGAAAACCACGACGGCCAAGAAGAAAGAGGCTGGACTCCAGCTGCCCAGTGCTCTGAAAGAAGGGTATGTGGGCAGGGCGGGGATTACACACATGCACAGCATCTGTGGGCTAGGGGGAGGGATGCTGGCAGACCTCCCAGGGCTCTGGAGCTGTCAAAGGGTTCACCACTGGGCTGGAAAACAAAAGAGCAGCAGGATGCCTTGGCAGAGAGTATAAAACATTGCTGCAAGTATCAGGGAGGACTTTGTATCTCGATGCCTAGGCATTGTGGTGCGTCCATCTTTCTGTCCTGTGAATCCTTCCCCTGCTCACCGTGTAGGACTGGCTCTTTGCTTGAGGCTGTTCTCTCTGAGCAGCATCTGCGCTTCATGTGGCGAGCCCAAAGTCTGGCAAGATGCTGGATCCCACAGACCAGGTCTGGCTGACTTGGGGACAAATTGTCTGCGTGAGCCTGTCAACACAGGTCTGACCTCAGTAGTGATTTGTGAAAGTAAGAGAGGGAGAGTCTGTGCGGGGACCAAGGCTCACTGTCTGCTGTGCTCTCTTTCACAGGATGCGCCTGAAGAATGGACTTGTAAAAGACAAGCGGTTATAAGGGAAGCGTGGCTGCTGCAGCCTGGGCAGCCTGCCTGGATCTGGGGACTGACCCAGGACCCTACACTCAAACCCAGCAAATGAAAGGCACAAGGAGAACTTCATCCCCGATACCCCTTCATCCCCTGCCCGGAGCCGGGGAAGAGATGCCACTGACAGGATCAGGCCCCTCCTGGGGCTTGCCTGTGACCAGGCTTCACCTGATGCTGATGTGCTTTTTGTAGCCGGTCTGTGCTGGTTCAGTTAAGAGGCTGGTGGCTTTGCTGGTCCAGGTAGGATTTGGAACTGGCTTTAGGTCCCCTGGTGTTTCTTCTGTCACTCCATTCCTCGGCTATTCTCAGTCCCTTTGTGGTTTCCCCTGTCTTTATTGTTGGTCCTTCCCACCGACCCTGCCTCAGCAGCGCTGAAGGGTCCTCTGACCCAGTGTTAAACTGGGGAGGGAAACGTCCTCTCCTCCGTTGGCATCACCGTCCCAGGCAAGGGGAGCCCAAAGCCAGCTCTTCTCTAGCTGCCAAGCAGGGACTAGAGAGGTGATGCAGTGCACCTCTGAGCCTTCCTCCTCAGGAGGGGTCACTAATACAGAGCCACCCGCATAAATCTTGGAGGCCCAGCACAGTTTCCATGTGCAGGTCTGCCTGAAAACCCAGCCCTGGAGCATTGTTCCAGCCTCCTGTCCTGCCAGATGAGGGCCAGGAGATTTAATTTGCTTAAAAAGCCTGTGTAAGTCTTATAGTTGCTTAAAAAGCCAGTCCCAGTCCTGCAGGCTCCCCTGATGAGGGATCTCTAGACTCGCGCCCAGTAATGTCTGCTTGCTCAAGTAAAGAGCAAATAGTTTCTGCTCCCCGTGCTGGTTTTCCAGGCAGCACCAGCCCTGAGCCTTGCAGGGTCCCCGGCTCTGGGCTGGGCTGTGGGTCTCTGCTGGGAAGCCCTGTGGATTTTACAGCCCCTCAGACCAAGACTGTCCCATTGCTCTCCACGGGGCCAGGACCCACAGCTCCTGTGTCCTCCCTGGGACGCGGAGCTCCCTCCCAGCCAAGGACAAGAGGCAGTGGAGGGGGGGGATTCAGGGCATTAATTCCAGCCATCAGAGGGTGGTTAATTGTTTTTGGTTTTTTTTCTGTTTGGTCTGTCGTATTGATTCACCTCCAGGCTCATTGTGTGAGCCACGGGGAAAGTTCTTCGGTAAACAGAAAGCGAAACGTGACTTGGGCTGATGGAAACTCTCCCAGGCTGTGGCAGGATCCGTCACCTTCTCACTCCTCATCACCTAGCAGGGTTTCAGAGGGGTGCCTTGGCTCTCCTTGGCTTTCAAGCGGGATTTGCAGGAAGGAGGAAATGAAGGGAACCGATATCCCGGGCCTCTTTCTGCTTGGTCATAGCGGAGTTGGGGCAGTGATGGTGCCGAGTTGGGCCGACGGCGGTACCTAGTCAGCACCTCTGTGGGTAAACTGAATTTCATAGTACCGGCTTGCCCAGGCTTCAGCATTAAGCTGGGTAACTCGTTGGCCAGCACTGTGTGTGTGTGTAACATCAGGTGTGCTGCCTGCTGTTTTGCTGCGATGGCTAGAAAGGGGCCGTGCGAACGGGGAGGCCACGGGGGCTCCCTCTGCCCGGCTGGGGCAGGGACCCTGTGCCGGGGATGGGTGCTAGGGGTGGGTGCTGATGGCTTTCTGTGCTGGCCCTGGGGCTGCGTGTCTTGTGGGCAGGGCGGTGTGTGTGGCCGGGAGCTGAAGCGGGAGTTTGATGATTTGATGTGCTGGAAGTTGATGGACTTAAGAGAGAAGTGTTGGATGCTGTGACTGGGGGGGGGGCAGC